AGAAACTCCTGCTTGGCCAAGTTCAAACATAAGTCCCCACAGCATACCCTGTGTGTCCTTGTTTTCCTGTGGGCCTTCTACATGTCCTTGAGTGCTCACTTCTCCTTGTCCTCTAATGCCATTCACAATGTAACCTCAAATGTCATTGTCTTTATTACTGAACCCTGCAAAATTGTTCAAATGAGTTACTTCTTCAGGCATTTATTTTCTGTATTAGGTGTATTCCGGGATGTCTTTCTCATAGGGTTAATGGCTCTTTCAAGTGGGTACATGGTGGCCCTCTTGTGCAGGCATAGGAGGCATGTCCAGCACCTACACAACAACAGGCTTTCTCCAAAGGCATCCCCTGTGCAGAGGGCCACCTGGACCATCCTGCTGCTCATGAGTTTATTTGTGCTCATGTACTGTTTGGACAGCATCTTCTCCTCCTCAAGAACTACAGGGAACAATGACCCAGTTTATTATTATATCCATATGATGGTGGCCAATGGCTATGCCACAACCAGTCCTATGCTGCTGATCTGCACTGAAAAACAAATCATTAACTTTTTGAAATATTTGTGGGTGAAGATAGCACATACTTAACTAGTGATGATAGATAAGTTTTCCTAATATGCCAATAAACTGGCTTATGAACAGTAAATTATAGCCTAGAATATATGCCCTCTGTAGGAAGTTAATATGAAGGTATGCATGTTTGATTAAATCTGTTACTTTAAAACAAGTGAATAACAAATTTATAGAAATGTCAATTCTTTACTTTTTGAGTTAACACAAGGGCCCAACATATCTGCTTGGTGTCAGCAAGTGATTGTTATGAAGTGGGACCTTCATGGCCTGGGTGACTCATTGAAAACATATTAAGAGTGTACAGCAGGTTTTAATAAGTGCTTAAGTGAGCTGTATTCTTCCCAATAAATATTGAYATATTTATTGTCACAAATTATCTCTGATTCATCAATTGTCCTCTTATTGATCTTTTAAAAAGAACTGAATGTAAGGACTCAAGTTACCATATGTACACTAATACTTAAAGTAGCATTATTAATGATAGCCCATGTCAGAAATACTTCAATGCCAAAAAGCATATGAATGTATAAGCAAAACATGTCCTTGGCATTCCATGGAATATTATTCAGCTTGAAAGAAGAATACATAAATTCTTGAGGGAATAAATCTGATCTGCACTCTTAAAAAGAATCAGAATGTTCAACCAGAGAATGGGATCAAAATTGTATTGGGTGGCAACCCAGGTATGTATAATATGTCAAAATACTCCCAACTGTCATGTAAATGCAAAACAAACAAATAAAACAAAGCAAATGGAATAAAAAAAGATAAAATGGTAAATTTCTTGTTTTGTGCATCTTACCATAACAAAAAGTGGCCCATGACTTTCTTTATGTTAAGAGAAACATGCCTGGTTCTGAAGGACAAGCAGCACATGTTCCYACTCTTTTGTAGAAAGCAGTAAGTAAATATAGTAGAACAGAATGAAATAGTGATCAGCATGGAATGGGAAGAGCAGGCAAAGGACACATGGAATGAGTTCAGTGAGGGGCACCAAAAACAGAATGGAGAAATCACTTCTGGTACTTCTCTGGCCCAGTAGGGGAACTATTAGTTAAAACAACCTAAATTGTGTTTTAAAATGAAATTTCTGATATTAAAACCATTATTAGCTGAAAACATGAAAATCCATATTACTATGATCTGATTACTACAATTTATATACATGTACTGACTTACCATAATGTACTCCATAAAAATAAATATGTAATAATATGTTTTTAAATGAGGTTTCCAGTAACCTTATAAACTACTGTGAAAAAAAATTCCCTAAAATAAAAAGAATTTTACATGCTGTGATTCTAAAGATGCCAAAATATAATTTTTTGAATATTCTAACACTTTTATGGCATTTTAGTGATTCGGATCCAAAACTTTACCTTTCTTAATATTTTTAGTTGTACATGGAGACTTTTTTTTATTTCATTTATTTACTTTTATGTAGCGCTGAGGATCAAACCCAGTGTCTCACATGTGCTGGCAAACGTTCTACCACTGAGCCACAACCACAGTCCACAAAGCTTTTTTCATTTGTTTGTTTTGGCCAAAGATTGAACCCAGCATTGATTAACCACTGAACTACAACCCTAGCCCTTTTTAATTTTTTTTATGTTGAAACAAGTTGCTTAGGCCCCTGCTAAGCTAGACTGGCCTCAAACTTCTGGTTCTCTTTTCTCACCCTTCCAGGTAGCTGGGATTACAGGAGTGCACCACCTTGAAATTTATCTGAAGAAGGAGGGGGAGCTCTTGTTATGAATTCAGTTAAGCAGTGCTCTGTGCTCTCAAGTCTTTCAAGGGTATGCTGCCTTATGTAGCAATAGTTTCTTTATTTTCTGGATAACATGTTTTATATGAAGTCAAATTGTCAAATACAAATTTTAGGGAAACACAGGGAAAATTACTGGTCTTGATAATGTGTCATGAAAATTATGGATTTGAAATATTGTTTTAATCAGAAAAAAAATATCAGATTTGCTTTTTCTAAATAGATGTATTATGCCACTGAATATTTCAAAAGAWGAAGTGTAGAAAATATTGCAATGACATATATTACTGTCTCATATTGTCATTATTCCTATCTAGTAATTTTAGCTTTAAAATTATGACCTAAGAAACAACTGAAAATTGAGGACTGGATCAGGTAACTTGTGAAAATGCTGTACATGTATATCTCCTAAATAATAAAATATTCAAAATGCACAATAACTAATGCCTTAGTTAACAAACATGTCCAACAAATTAAAATGATGGTCTCCTGTGCCACAGGACTTGCAGAAAATGACAAATGGAGAAGAAAAAAAGGAAACACATTAAAAGACCCTTCACAAAATAATCTCTGGAGACAGCATGAAGGTTCTCAACAACACATGTCTCTGGAAAAAAAATAATAAACTACAAGATCCCAATAAGCACTCAGAATGGCACACACTCACACAAAACAATAGTAACAAATACTGCTTGGTGGCAGAGTACAGGAAGTTTCCCTTGATTGTTGCTGGGATGCCACATACAGTCTCTGGGCAGGAGTGCTGTGGTTTTATTTTTCTGTATTAAAGTTGCCATATGATCCATGAATCACACTTCCAAATTTTACCCACATTATTTGGAAACTGTTGCCCACAGGAATGGTGTATGTTACTGAAGGCTGCACCTTGTCCCTCATGCTAATTGAACCAGGATGACGTGGTTTTGAGGAAAAGGAAAAGCAGGTACATTATTGCTTTGCTATGAATGGACAAGCACAGGGGACTCCAGTCCCAGAGGATGAGATTCTGCTCATTACAGGGAACAGAGTTGGTTTTTGTTGTTGTTGTTTTTTTTTTTTTGGGGGGGGGGGGGGGGGGGTATTGGGAATTGGACTCAAGGGTCCTTGACCACTGAGCCCCATCCCTAGCCTTGCTTTGTATTTTATTTAGAGACAGGGTATCACTGATTTGCTTAGGGCCTCACTTTCGGTGAGGCTGGCTTTGAACTATTGATCTTCCTGCCTCAGCCCCCTGAGACAAGGGGATTACAGGCATGAGCCACTGTGCCCAGCAGAGCAAGGTTTTTTAAAAAGCCATTCAAAGGCTGCCTGTCAAGAAGTCCCTCTAATGGAATTTAATTCACTTTTTAATTTTGGAAACAGCAGTTCCTTAGGTCTTTTGGTGCCATCCCTGAAGTCTGAATTCCTGTGTTTCTGTGGTGTGTGTGCTCAAAATGTCTGGTCTATGATAGGTAAAGGTGATCTTGTTCCCCCCATGACAGGTTTTGGAGGAGGAAAGAAATAAGAGGAAAAGAAAACATGTCCATTTTAAAAGAAGCCTCATTGGCAAAGCAGCTAAACAATGAGGTGGACAACTTGTACATATGCAAGTGTGGACAGCGGCTTCCTTCTATATCACTGTACACTGGAAGGAATACACACATTCTTTTGCAAATTTATAGAGAAGAAAATATACTTTTATAAAATTTCCAGTAAAAAAAATAGTACCCTTTTCCTTAACTCAACAATGGAAAAGAAACTTAAATGCATTTTACTAAATAAAAGAAATGAGGATGCAAAGGATACTTCTTTCATTCCATTTAAATCTCAATCCTGAGGAGACAACAGAGACCAGACCTGAGAGGACTGGTTTTCAGGATTAGAAAAAAGAGCAGCCCTTGGGTAATAAGTGGTTGTGGCCTGGCACACAGTACCTGCTGTCCCACCTGATCAGGAGGCTGAAGCAGGACAATAAGCCCACAAGTATGAGACCAGGGTGGGCATCACAGCAAGATGGTCTCATAAACAAATGAACAAAAAAACCCAGAAACAACAACAGCAAACAAAACAATACCAAGGTCACTTTTAAGGTGAAGAGATTTTTCTGTACTGYAAGCACAAATGGATGCCTGCCATTGTTCAAAACCATGGAATGCCCCCCACATATACATCTCATGCTTTTGCACAATTTTATAATCAAAGTAATATAATTTTGAATCATAATATTCCTAATAATCCTACTGGACAGACTTTTGTTCAATGAGCACATTGTACTTTTAAAACTTACCTTTTTAAACAAAAACAAACATAAAAAAAGAAATCTAGCCTCTCTCATATTAATAATGCCTTAGATATTTTATTTATAGTTAATGCAGTCTATCTTCAAGAAAAATAGTCACATTTTGTCATCTGCTTTGGATAGACATTTTATTCTCAAACAGAATCAGGGATCAGGGCCTGTAAATCAGTTCTGACCAGCTCAAGGTCCTCACTGTCCTCACTACTGTGTTTAGTAGAGGTGGACACAATCAGGGCCAGTCAGGAGCTTCCCTGACATTTCTTAGCAAGAGTTAGCAGGAAAATGTTCTCATTTCAGGTGCTAGAATGACAAGGAAAGAGTTCCAGGTGACTGACCTTCAAGGTCCTCATGCTGTGACTAATCTGAAATCTGCCAAAGCTGAAGAAATTACCTCCAGACACAAGTGTGGCTCATGGGCCTCTCAGATGGGTTTTGTCTTTAATGAAGGCAACATACTGCTGCATATTTTGCATGGCTTAGGTGAGAGAGGTGGAGACATGGGCTACAATACGGGACAATTTGAGGACCTAAAGCTATTAATGGTAATAAAAATCACCAAAATGAAGAGAAAACTGTCTCCTTCATGGAGGAGGCCTTTAACCTGTCTTCATGCCCAACCAGAGAAACTCCTCAGTCATGAATTCTCCCTTCCCTCATTTCCCTTCCTTCTTCCTACTTAGCTCCCCCCATGGCTCCATTCCTGGATTTCTTGCTAGGAGAAGATGTCCCACATCACTCTCCATATTTTCTTCTCAAGTTTAAGGCATTTAGAAATCAAAACTGAATCTGAGGCATATTCATTGTATAGGGGTGTCATTACTCAGAGCTGACATATCTGAGAATGTAAATATGACATTAGTTATTTTTGTTTGGTCACTTTATTGTATTCCAGGCCAGGACTCTTTGGCATCAGTAGAAGAGCCCCTCAAATTGTTTACTAAGAATTCTATGCAAATAATAACGAAGTGTACT